ACCTCGGGCCGGCTAGAGCGCGGATGGAGGCGGATCGGCCAGGCCGAGGCGCTCCAGAAGCCACACTCACCATCTTGACGACTCCGGAGAAAGGACCGGGCGGCCCGCGCCTGCGCAGTTATCGCGAGGCTGCTTGCGCGCACCGCCCCTTCGGCCGTCCCTACGCATGCGCTTCTGCCTTCCCGTCGACGCCGCGCGCCCCCTGCCGTCCGGAGGGCAGAGCGCAGGCCGCGGGGCCCTAGCTGGGGCACTGCCCCCTGAGGCTCAGGCCTGTGTTCTGTGGTCTACACTATGGCTCCCACCCCAGAAGTATGCACGCTGCCCTAGTGTCTGTGGTAGGTGAGGTGCGGATTGCGGTGGGGGCGCCCCGGTAGCCGAACTCCAGGCAGGAGGTCACAGGACAAGGCATGAGAGCTAAGAGCAGGCGGGGGACAGCGGGGACACCACCTCCCCAGGAAGGACCGGCTAAGCTGTAAGGACAAGGTGCCAGGGGTTACACCTGCTGGGCGCGCAGAGCAGGCGGGTGATGCCGCGACCCGGGGAGCCGCCCCCGCCCCCAGTATGGCGGGTGGGGGGCAGGGGGGTGATGCTGGTGACCCCGCCCCCACCCCGCCTGCAGGTCGGGGCACCCCGGTGATGCTGGGGACCCTGGCAAGCACATGCAATAATCTATTTAAAAAAAAAAAAAAGAAATGGTAAAAAGTGAAAAATAGAGGCCAGCCCATGGCCTGGTGGTTAAGATGGCTGGGATCCCACAGGGCCAACGGCAGGCATGGTTCAAATCCCGGACCATCAGCTTGAGAAACACGAGTGCCCAAAAGCCTGAGAAGGGAGAAGGGCGTGTAGTGTGGCCGTGGCCAGAGGTACTTTCTCACTCTTCCTCCCTCTCTTCAGCAAGCACCAACACCCTATGGCACATTGAAAAAACGGGGGCCAGCAGGTGGCGTGCTGGTTAAGAGTGCTGGGCTCCCACATAGCTGACTGCAGTTCGAATCCCATACCTGGTGGCTTGCTTTCTCACTTTCCTTCTCTCTCTCTCATTGTCCTTCTCTGGTCAAGATAAATAATCCTTTCATTAAAAATGAATGCAAATAAAAGCACAGGTGTAAAAAGCCCCAGGGCAGGGAACCAGCAGTTAGCGTAATGGCTATGTCGCTGGACTCCCACGTAGTCGACCGCGGTTCGTGTCCTGGACCCGGTGGCTTAAAACTCACGCCGGGCGCGTGTGCGTGCGTGCCCAAGATCCCGAGAGAAGGGATTGCGGCGTGACCATCCCCCCTGGGGGGTGATTTCTCGCTTCCTGTCTCTATGTCTCTCTCTCTGTCTGTCTGGCGAGCGCACGCGCCCTACAGTGAAAATCTCTCCAAGAAAAAAAAAAAAAAAGCCCCAGGGCAGAAGTGGCAGGGTAGGGGCCAGCAGGTGGCGTGGTGGTTAAAGGCGCTGGGCTCCCACATAGCTGACTGAGGATCGAATCCCAACCTAGCAGCTTCCTTTCTCGCTTTCCCTTTCTCTCTCTGGCCAAATTAAAAAATAATAACAAATTAAATAGTTCTTTAAAAAAAATAAAAAGTGACCAAAAAGTGCCAGTGCACACCGAAGCGACCCGGCGCCAGGGCAGCCACACTGCGGGCCCTGCCAGTGGGGCATTCTGGACATGCCAAGGCCAGGTCCCCACGCGGGGAGGAGCCCATGGGTAGCACAGAAGGCCCCAACCCAAGCCAGAGGGTGGCCGGGAAGGTGAGGGCACAGATCCAACCGCTGGCCCGAAGGCTGCAGGGGAAGGAGCCTTGTGGGCCTGCGTGGGTCACTGTCCAGGAGCAGCGTGGGCTGGGGCAGGCGAGGCTGCAGCAGGGGACGAGGCTGATGTGGGGAGGGCTGCGGCGTGCCACGTGCACGGGGACGCTGGGGACACCGGCTGCTCAGGCTGCCTGCAGCATTCGTGTGCGTGTGTGCAAAAGCAAGGGCACCTCCCCGGGTGTGGCCACCGGGACCCCTCCTCCGGCCTGCCGGGCCCTGGATGTCTCTGGCTGCCTGGGCCAGCACCCCTTCCTCCAGCCCTTCTGAGCCGAGCCGCAGTCCATCTTCACAGAAGGCTGGAGTCGTGTCCACCGTGCACACTGTGCACACCATGGTGGCTCCTGACGCCGGGCCGTCCTGCCCCACCCCAGAACCCGTGGTGGTCTCCGTCGGGGAAGGGTGGGAGAAAACCCAGGGGCTCCAGGCAGGAAGATGGCCAGCCCGGCTCCTGGGGGGAGGGGGCACAGCCAGCCTCTCAAGGTGGCTAGGGGGCGTCCTGAGTGTCACAGGCCAAGGACCCAGGATCCCGAGACGGGCCGAGGCGGCAAACACAACATGGCACGGGCTCTAATCCAAACGCACTTCTCTTTATTCAAACCAGGGTCAAGCCGGGGTGGGAGACGCCCAGAACCCCCCGCAGGAGCGGCTTCCTTGCCGCGCAGCCGGCAGGCGGGGGCCGTGGTCGCGGGTGGCGCGCCGGCC